TTTGAAAATCCGTCTGCGTAAATAATATTGGTAGGAGTATTTTGGGAGAGCGAGCCAATCAGAATCGACGAAGCAATTTTATCAGTATTTTCAAGTTATTTGCACGAAATTCAACCACGAATGATTTCCATTTTTCACTATAAAAATGTAAAATAGAAATAAATACATTTGGTGGTCAGAATGTTCAAAATTGGAAGGATACATTTATTCGGTCACCACATAATGAAAATGACTATATTAAACGTTTCAAGTGTTCACCTTTCATGTACAGATGCTAGATAACAATCAGTCTTTAAGTTCACATGATGTTGTTTGCATGTATCTTCCGATTGTTGTTTGGGACCGCAGTTGATCAGTCGCTTGTTGGAACATGTGCATCATGTGCGGATCGCCACGATATTATCTTAATTCACAAGCTTTATAAGCAATGATGGATAGTGGCAAGCAGTGGAATCCAGGACGCCACTATCCATCTTTGCTTACAATCAGTCTTTGTTTCAGTTCAGTTTGCTTATAATGAACTTTTTAACAAACCACTCAATAAGTTATTGAGTGAATATTCGACGAATCAGTGAGTGAAATGAGACACGATGACATAAATAACGATTTTTATTCATGAATTATTCTTTACATCAAAATGTTCACAATTATGTTTTTCTCATACTTTTTCTGATTGTAAGTATTCAAATGATTCAAAATCTTTTTAAGCTTTTTAAGACTTGATTTAATTTACTGTAAATCGCTTTTAGTAACACCATCACTTCTTTCATAAAAAAATCTTATTTTCACCTGTCATTTCTGCCTCATGCCTACATTTTCTCTACTTCCTAACTACATATCTATCTGTCTGTTTGCTTATATTAAAAAGTTATTGATGTTAGGTAACTTACACAATGAAGTTGGATTAACATCACTTTAGTGAATTGAAATTGACTTTTATTATCACATTTAATATTCGCATTACCACTTAATTTATTCAATATGATGTCATTCAGTTACACGTCACCATAAAGAGTTGTATGAACTTCCTCTATGAGTTTCGCTTATGGTGAGATTCATCTAGATAATATAGTGTTTAAAAATTTAAATGAATTATTCACCAAAGTTTTCATGGAGATATACAATTTATATGATTAATTATGTGTTTGAATGATCCGATTGTTGATATTGTGAGCTGAATATCAATCAGTTTTTGTTGACATTTGTGCCCTCTGTGCAGACCGCGTCGACATGAAAGCTTAGTTACAAGGTTTGTCGAATAACTGCGTTGTGGCTAGAATAGGGATCCGTAATTTGTAGCAAAATGGCTACGAATTTCAGCGAGTGATAGAAACATTATAACAAACTTACACTATATAATTAGGTGAGATTAGAATTTTCAATCATCACATAAAGTGATAATATTGTTATTCTTAATAACTATTGGTTGTGATATTATTAATAATGTTCGAACAGAAAGCTAAAATAGTACAGGAGAATTTCAGACTCGATAAATATTTGAGTACTGTGTGGGGTGTTCTTAGTCATCTACTCATGGTATGTTGGAATGAAGTTACAAATCTCAAGTCACACTGAACAGCCGTTTCGTTCTACTATAAGACCCTTTAACAGTATACTCCGCCACCTATGACTCTAATTGAGTCTGAATCATAGGACCTTCACATCTGATGATTCCAAAGCAATCTGAATTGAATTTCAAAGATTTAAATTTTAGAATTCAATCAGTTCACTATACAACGTGCCTTATACCTTTGTGATAATAACTTTCTCACTACTGTTACAGCAGTAACTTCTAGCTGGAATTTTGTAAAATTATTTTAAAACTAGTTACTTGAAGAAAGCTTCATACAAAGAGTTGTTTTATATTTCATATACGTCTTAATCGTTTAGCTATTTAATTTTCCACAGTTGAAAATGCAACCCAAATTAAACTTCTCAATATGGAGATTCAATAAATATTTTCATATCATATAATATGTGTATATAACATTAAAGTACTTTTTGAAAATGAAAGATTTTCATCACATGGAAGTTCACTTCCAGTTCTGTATTATGTTTTAAATTGTATAAAAGGTGTAATGATGATACGTTCATTATTTCTATGATACAATGAATCAGTAAACACTGTTTACATTTTATTCATAACTGTGAACTATGTAGACGGATATACATTGGTGTTATTTCGGAATACAGTAAACAGAACAAACATATAATTGTGTTATCCTGTTTAATTTATTAACATGTTGATAAGTAAGAATAGTTTTTAAAAAAAATAATTATTCACTCTACTACTAAATATGTCTCTCTCTCTCTCTCGGTGTGTGTGTGTATGTGTACGTACAGATAATATTCATAATTGTATAACGAAATGAACTATTTACTGTAGTGATAAATCACATATATTAATCATATACTATTTATATTTATCTAAAGAGTCTTTATAATGTAGATATTTTACGAGAATATTTATGTTTTAGACAACAATTATATTTGGTATTGTTTATGTGATTTTTAAGTTTCTCAAGCTGAACATTTATTTATGAATCTATTAATGTAAATTATGTGGATTTTGTGTAGTATGGTATGTAGACAAATTGTTAGTAATAAAATAATTAACTGTGAATAAACGTAATATTTGATTGTTGATTGAAAAAAATTCACCTAGTTGTGAACATATATGACAATTATTTGTAGTTTACATCAATTAATAATACTATTTAAACAACTGTTGAGAACTATGAAGGATTAGATAGCTGTTTCTTACAAGTATGGTACCCATCAGAAGTGCACACCCATGACCAAGGAACTTCAATCTCGAAATGAGCGCTTAACTTCCCGACCATTGAACTGGTATCGAATGATGCATATTTCTAAATTAAATGTACTCCTTGACACTGCACAACGATCTTTTATTACTTAGGGTGGGTATCTGTCTCATACTCGAGATTATTGAATTCCACTGGTCATTTCGAAATTTTCACGATTTGGCTATAACCGATATTTGGGACGTAATATTCATTCTGAGGTGGTAATTAGTTAGAAGTATGATAAAATTTGTTTTTATGTCAACAATATAATTGAACTTCAAATTTATATGTTTGCTGTTCAATTTAGGAGAATTATACTGTTCTGTACAATAAATATGTGAACTGAGGTCATAAAAGTACCATTTTATAAACGTTAAGGCACATATCTATTTCTTGTTAATAAGCTCATCTCATGTTTGTTTTCACCGCTGAAAACGTCACTGGAAGTCCTCAAGAGTTAGTCTCTTGTCTTTTTTATTTCCCTGTGATCGTGTTCGCAGTTGACTTTGCGACACTTCAGTTCATCAGATATCACCTGGACAACGAACTAATGATCGGAATGCACATGTGATCCCATAGGTTCAGTGATTACATTAAGACAAAATCGATAGTTCTTCTGATCTCTTACATATCAGACTTGTGGTATAATCTCCACAAACAGCTTTCTACATTTCATGAACTGCCTGTGTTCTGAAAAATCTGCAAAAACCGTCGTAGCCGATTTAGCATATCTGCTGGACGGATCATTTTATAATGTATATAATATGTAGAATAACCGTAAAACAATCTTGCTAGTAGTGTACAAGTGTAAACTGTATTTTTAACGAACTAATTTAATCCAAAAAAATATATTTTTTGTATTTGATACAAATGTGAATGTAAAACAACAGGCTGGTACTATCACTTGACATCTGCTTGCCTAATATGAAGGCAAAATTACATGATCAGAAGAAGCTTGATAAAAGTCGATCAACCTCTCAAATCATACAGATATTAATAACACATTGAATGAGAATTATCCACTGTTACGAACACACTGAGAATAAGGATAAAGATTTACTGTTTACTAAGTCTTCATTGGTTCAACGTGTAAAGGGTAGCTGACATTAACTACAAATAAAATTCACTACTCGTTTGAAACAACTACACCCCTATCCAGGTTCTTCAGTATCCTAAACTCGCTATAAACTATATACTGCATAAATACTTTGAATTGATGATATAATTAATTGTTCAATAAATATAACTGAATCGTTATACTCAGATAAATAGAAATTTATCTTTTAACTAATTTTTTTTTAAAGTATAAACGTGGTTTTTGTTTATGTTCACTTTCTATTTCTTCATTCAAGTGTTTGTTTGTTTCTAATGTTATTTCAAACATTCATAATTAAAAAAAGATATTTAATTGTCATTTTGTTTTCTACCATTTTTATAAATGACTTTTTTTGTTTAACATTCAACTACTGAACGAGTTTGTTGCTTCAATTGTCGATATTATTTAGTTTTACTTTCATATCTGTCATTACGTTAGAAACTGTTAATGTGTTATAACAATAAATGTTCTAAAGTAATTAAGATTAGATTTAATAAAAATTGAATATTATCTTTAAAAATATACTATTTGGTTCAGTATCATAAGATAATAACCTAGTGATCAAATGGTTAAGAACGTGTCATGACTCGTTAGTGTGTTTTCTCTTCATACCTGGTGCTGTAGTAAATGATTACCGTTGAGAAGACCAATTTTATTTATATATTTAATGTTGTAATGGGTGATGATAGAATTCTATCGATTTCTAGGACAGATTACTGTTAATATTTCAAACTGTGAGTCTGGGTGATGATGGTTTAAATCCTACAGAGAGCATCGATTCCTTCAAGTTAATAGGAATGGTTGACAAATGTCTTTATTTTTGCTTTGTTCCAAGTCACACAATACTAACATGTTATGAACACTGGTAATTATTATTAAACAAATCTAATGTTTTATAATCTCTCATTTAATTATTTTCTAGTGATTTTGGATCACGAACGGATACTAATTAAGTAATTCCATGAGGATTGACCCCAGTGTTTACAAGTTCAATGTTTTTGTTGGAACACGACCACAAGTTACACCTTTAAACTTACTGTTTGTTATTTATCTGTATATTTTATATTTTTATTGTATATTTGTATTTTTTTACGCAGTCCATTATCCTAAAATTCAAATAATTCCATCGAAAGAAGACGATAAAACAATTATGGTTGATAAAAATATATTACAAATTAGTTGTATTGCACAGTCATGTAATTCAGCATCAAATGTTTTACTTGATGCCGATGATAGGTATCGTCGATCCAGAAGTAGTGATACATCATCATGTCCTATGAATGGTCATATTATACGATGTGAATATCTTAATCTGTTTCGTTTATCAACATCGTCATCATCAAATAATGATAATGATAATAATAATCAGAAAATACAGTTAACAAATCAAGGCATAATCAATACAGAGTTCAGCGAAATTATGACAGAATTAAAAATAATGCAATCTAATGCTGAGAAATTAGTTGTCACCATGCCAAGAAGTAAGTTTTTCATCGTTTTAAATACATGGTTTCGTCAATTATTTTTTTTAGAAAAATCTTAAAAAACCTTTGATATTTTATGAATGTTTCATCTTTTTTTATTTGATGGATTGATTATTGTCTAATCATATTGTCTATTATTGATATGTTCTACAAACATTGGTACTATTATTACTACAACTACGACATTTGTCTGGACATGATGATGCGGTGTAGCAACTGGGACTGATGCACATATGTGCCGGATTTCAAGTTCTTCATGAGTAATTGATTAACGTTCTTGTTATTACATATGGTTACGTGTTGATAAGTTAATTAGCGCTTCAGTTTCAATGGTGATAATCTATTCATTAAAACAAATATTTTGGTAACGGGAAGATTTTATTTGTTAAGGATAGTTAATTTTTGTTACGCAATTCTAAAGTGAGGGTAAAAAGATATTTGATAATGCTTTCACGAGTATGTTCAAATCTTATTTAATCATTTAGGAGTAATACTATCAGGGGAAAGAAGATTCATAACATTTTAAACTAAACGATTGTCAAGAAAAATGCTGTCAATGAAATCAACTGGTTTTTCTGGAATAAATAAATTAAGGTTGATGCAGTGTAGCTTCAGTAAATTTCAAACGACTAGAACATGGTTTTTTTTATTATTCGCCTTATCAGATTTCATAATATTTACCTGATGCCTTCTGCTAAAAATATTTTCTACAAGTTTGGTAACAATGATCAAATCACTGAATAGACCAATTCATCGTTCTTACATGAACAATGTCTTTATTGACATTACAAATTTCATTACGGAGTACACTTCAATCCAAATTATCAAAAATAGTAAAAGAAATATAATGTCACTTTAAGTCAAATTAATTCGCTCAGGATGTACAAATGATAACAGGGTCTGACCTATCACAGTCTTGAGTATTAACAACAGAAAATTACAAAACCTTACTAATACTCTAATAATCGTTAAATAAGTCACTGCCTAGCTGAACACAGTAGCTTAGTGTTTAACACATTTGAAGTGAATAATATAAAGTTTAAATCTCAGTAAAGACATTAAAACCAGTATCCAGTTATGGTCAGCTGATTGGTGGTTACAAAACAGGATGAAATCATTCAATTCCACTAAATATACTCACTTTATCTCAATACATTCAAATTTATTTACGTATATGTAAAATGTGAGAAAGTTGCATGTTTCCGATAATTTCTCATCGGTGCTTACATTTTCAAATAGGATTGTTTAGACATTTTGACTGTAGTAGTTAACGAGAATTTAAAGTATACACATAAACGAATAAAATGAATGAATAGGGTAATAATGATGATAAGAAATTGTCAAATAAGCAGTTACACAAAATCTGTTCGGAGTTTGTCTATGTGTCTAACAGTATATAGGAAAAGCATTGTTCTTGTAAAGATATACACAACAAAATGAATGAATTATTGATAAACTGTGCCAATAATTACAAGCAGAGATGGATGGTAGTTAGCAGTGGAATGTGGAATGTACATTTCGTTCTATTTTGGACTTATCATCTGGATGTATCTGCATCCCAGAGTTGTGTTGTGTGCGTAATGTTCTCAGTTTGAAATTAAATGATAGATTGATAATAACGGTGAGAATTATTTGAAAAATCTTTAATAAAAGTACATGAAAGGATGGATGTAACCAGTTCAATGGATGGTTATTTTTTACTATATTTGGAAAGTCTTTTGAGATAGATAGTGGAGACGATTTCTAGCTCAGGTGAGATGGTTTTAATGGAATCGCATTCTTTCACCCAGTTGGTTATTGTGAATCCTTCCTTGTCTTACTGGATAATATCACTAAAAAACACTTAAAAGCTCACTTACATTTGAATTTTACACTGATGATGTTGTTCGAAAAGACTGTAAAAGCTTCATGACTGAAACATCCAACAGAGAAGATACAACCTCACCAAGAAGACCAATCGGAAGTCACGGAAAATATGTATGTATGTTTTGTATATTTTGAAGTTGAGTTGATCTACACAGATCATCTGAAGAATGTGCGCGGTGCGTAGATACGCACTACTGATTAGTCTTACTCCTGATTGTTTGTTTAACTAAGATCGCTTTGTGATGTAAACCATCATGTTCAGAAATCTTCACAAACCTTCTTTCAATAATAATAATAGTAATGTGCTCACTGATGACTAACTTCGAGAAGTGAATTCCAAAGTTCTAGAAGTAGTGAGAGAAGAAATTACCCGTGTGAGATTCAATCATGTCGAATGTTAACCCGTTACAAATTAACGCTGCTTAAAAACAGTTGTTCGGTATTGTGTGTATATATTTAAACCATTGAATGCTGGATCAGTCTTCTGAAGATAAATGCAGTGATATGTAATAAGAGAAATTTTATAGCTTTTACCATTTTTGACTTACATTATATGTTACATGTTGACGTTAGCGGTAGTGTACCAGGTATGATATGTCGATTGATCAGTCAGTGAATTCTCATTGACTGAGATGGTTGGGACACGTAAGCTCACATAAGCTCGACCCCCGCCTACCTCGACAGGTTTTGGAGACTGGTGGATTAGTGGGTTGGAAAAAAGCTATGGTTGATTAAACAACGACATTGTTTCAATTCATGGAGCTACTGACTGTCGAAATGTTCAGTGTGGGTAGATCCCGACTATCTTGTTGAGCTCCACGCAATTGTTATGGCTAATGGTTGGAGATGTTGAATGATAAGATTCAGAATCAAGCACAATGTTGTGAAAGCATTAACTCTTTGCTTTCTTTTGCATTCTGAGTTTTAGAACTATCTTATTCCATGAGTTCATTCGTTCCTCTTCAATCACTGTCTATATCTGATCTTTTATACAATCAATGGTACTGTCAATACATCTACCGCTCTGAAACTAGTCAGGATATCCTCATTTGGCTGTACTGATGTTGTACAATAATGTTAACCGATATGCATATGTGCTAAGTTCTGTGTTGGTTATGACAAACGGACTGAATGACTGACTAATATATGTGTCAATAAGTCTCTATAGAATGAATCTAATAAATATATTACAGTTCAGTGTATGAAAGAATGTTTTGATTTAAAATTAATCCTCATCAACTTGAAAATCATTTAATCCCAGGTAAAACTAATCAGTGGGTTCTTTTTTTTGAATTACACAGTAGTATCTCAAATTGTATCAGTAGTAGCTAAATCTACAAATTCACAATATTTTCATTATTCTTTACTAACACTTCGATATCACATAATATTTAGAAAACATTGATTAAAATGATGCTCTTTCAATGTTATTTGCTTTAAAGGAATATTTTGATGCATGGTTAATTTATGCAGAAATAATGAGCGAACGATATACACACATTTCGTTTTGTTTTGTTTTGAAAAAAAAGTTTTTATTTCAACATTTCTTTCTAAATCAATAATATGCTTATCTATTCATTAAAATGAAAACAGAATATATAGTGCAGCATTAGCATAAACGACTATGAAATTAAGTGATGCATGTTCGAATACCATAGAAATGATTAGTTCTATTAAGATTGTAGGTATGCTGACTAACACGAAACCTAGATAAGGTTAGGTATCCTACCGGTTACTGTCAAACACCTAACATCTAAACTCAAAATGCAGACCATTGAGGTTTGACTAAATGGGTACAAACTGGTTGCCGGACTAATCTAATAGTGCAATTATTTGTGCATCTATATCTCAGTGAAGTCGCTTACGAAGAAAAAACAGCGATTCCATGTGTAATTGTCTTCGACATTGATGAAATTCTATAACAAATGCCATTGAGAAAGTAAACAAATTATTTTTATTAAATCACACCAATGTATATCATATGAGGATAACTATCCCTTTTTCAACGTTTAACAAAAGTGAGATATCTTACATTTTCGAGCGTTTTTCTATTCATTTGGTTTGTCATTGCTGTGTATATGTGCAATTTCCACTGTAGACTTCATGTTATTCATATTAAGTTATCTCCATATGTCTTCTGCGAATAAGTTAATGTAACTCATTCCAACTTCCCAGACAGTAAAATAAAAGAAATTTCGAGCATGAAATAGGATAATCAGCAATCATTATCATCTTATATGTAGTATTCTTTTACTAAATGGACGGAATAGTGTAGTGCGATGAAAAAAGTGCTACAAATTCACGGACACGTATCCTATCCTTGTCAATAGCTAATTATTGTATAAATAATGCGATGAAAAAATGGCCTTATAACTACCAATTGTGTCATTCGGTTTTTCTAAAATCATACATCCTTTTGGTCGGTTAGGCGATCCGTTGCATTTTAATTATTAATCGAGGATACAGTTTTAATACAACATATTATTATGATGTAAATATTATTATCATTACATGTATTTTTCGTTTATATTTCCGAACGGAAGTGTGTTAGTCCTTAAAATGTACTTAAATTGAAAAAAAGCTAGTCTATGTTTGTGTGAAATTAAGCGGGATAGAATGTTTACAAAATTTGGGTAATCATCTCTGACAGGATTTTTTTTCATGAGCTCAGATAAATAACATTTTTTTGTTAGTATATGAAGTTGTGTAATTTGTTGAATTTATAGTTTCACAGAATATAATGAGTTTACTTCTGTCTCAAACGTGGGTTCGATCTCTGGTTGAGTTGTGTATGCTCATACTTGACATCTATAACAAGATGGAACAGTTATACAGCTTTTCTTGTTTTTCAGCCGTTCATTTGACCGAATTCATTCCGTGACATCAAAATGACATATTTTTAATTTAAGTGCATGTTAAGTAACCAGATTTTTCATTATAATTACTGGTAACGTTTTGAGTTCCATTTAGTAAAAGTGGTGTATATAAGTGTATTAAACTGAAAAGTAAAAAAGATAAACAAACAGATCTAGTTAAAATATTGACTGTGAATAGTACATCTCATACTATATCAGATGTTAACGATTGTAGTGTTAAAGTGGCTGAAAGTAGTTAGCAAGAAGTTCTTTCTC